CCTGCGAAACTGCATAAGGTCCCACAGGGCCCGGATCTCCCCCGGGAGCTCGTTCCACCAGGTAGGAGCCGCCACCGAGAAAGCCCTGGCCCTGGTCACAGCTAGTTTAACGTCCTTGGGACCCAGGATGACCAACAAATTTTGGGGCCCCGACCATAGTGCTCTTGGGGGAACATGTGGAGCAAGGCGGTCCCTCAGGTAGGCTGGACCCTGGCCATATAGGGCTTTATAGGTAAGAACCAGCACTTTGAAGCGGATCTGGTACAACACTGGCGCATTGTGGGGTGCCACTTCCGGCTCCTGGAGCATCCCCCCATCCCACAGCCAGCATCTCAAAGGGACCCAGCAACCCTAGTTAGGGCACTCGGTTAGATTTTACTGTTACCTCACCAAACTACAGTTCCTAGCATTGATGGGATTTACAGGTTCCATTAACAGCCACTCCACTTCCCCTGTATAATTCCAGCCCTGCCATACTTGGATTGCCCTCCCTCCTCCCTCTAAGGAGCTTAGGGAAGCATGCCTGCTCCCCCCCCTTTAATCTTCACAACGACCGTGATATGTAGGTGATACTAGACTGAGATGCCGTGGCTGACTCAAGGTCTGAACCCATGTTTTGCCAGTCCAAGAGTTCGATCACACGGGATGCTGGGAATTCTGTGAACCAAAAAGTCTTCTTTTTAAAAAAAATCATGGTTACAGGGGTCCAATTCAGATTGGCCCTGCGGTGAGGGGAAGGAGGATTTAGAGCTATCTCCCTCAAGACATTTTCCTGCTCTGAAAGGGGCTTCTAGGGCACTGCTGTTCTAACTGCTGGGGCAGACATACAAATTTCCACATCAGTGCACTTAATAGTTGAGCCCTCTAGGCTGTAACCACTGCATCAACCCAGGCTCTTGTAGAAGAAGAAGAAAAGTTGGTTTTTATACCCCATTTTTCTATACCCCAAGGAGTCTCAATTGCCTTTCCCTTCCTCTCCCCACCACAGGCATTTTATGAGGTAGATGGGGCTGAGAGAGCTCTGAGAGAACTGGGACTGGCCCAAGGTCACCCAGCAGGCTTCCTGTGCAGGAGGAGAGGGGAATCAAACCCCGTTCTCTGGATAAGAGTCCACCACTCTTCACCACTACACCCTACTGGCTCTTGGTCCCACTGACTGATGCTCTCATTGTATCTCATGGGATTCTCTCATTGTACTTATGGTATCTTCTACTCCGTCTTTCTTTGCAGCAACCCACCAGATCTCTGATACACTGCAGAAGCTGGAGGTCCCCATAATCAGCACAGACAAGTGCAATGCTCTCTACCGCCTGGACTCTGAGGAGCCCAAGTGGACACGGGACATCAAAAGCGACATGCTGTGTGCTGGCTATGCTAACGGGGGACAGGACGCTTGCCAGGTAAGACCCAACACACTTTCCGACTAGAAGGTTACAGGGCTTGGCTTCCCTCTAGTGGCCATGGCTAGACTGTTCGTCTTTCCAAGGATCTTCTCCCACGGTATCTTTATCCTCCCACAAGGGGCTTTTCCTTATTTGGGTTTTTCCTGCCCATCGGCTTTGCTGCTCATAAAGTAAAGGTAAAGGTTCCCTTGCTTGAAAGCCAGTCGAGTCCGACTCTAGGGTTGCGGTGCTCATCTCCATTTCAAAGCCGAAGAGCCAGCGCTGTCCGAAGACGTTTCCGTGGTCATGTGGCCGGCATGACTAAACACCAAGGTGCACGGAACGCTGTTACCTTCCCACCAAAGTGGTACCTATTTATCTACTTGCAATGTCTTGCTTTTGAACTGCTAGGTTGGCAGAAGCTGGAACTAGAGACGGGAGCTCACTCCGTCATGCGGCACACTCGGGTGTCGAACTGCTGAACTACCGACCTTCCATAGCCTGCAGTTCAGTGTCTTAACCACTTGATCACATAAAATCACAGAGTTGGAAGGGGCCATACAGGCTATCCAGCCCAGTTTCCCCCTCCCAGACAGCGTCATTTGCCAGTTGCTGCTCTGCATTTTCCTTTGTGTTTTTTTCAGATTGGCTTTTTCGTTTTTGAGGGGAGGAATGGAGAAAACGTAGGGCAAAAGAAAAAGTGAGCAACAACCAGAAAATGATACTGTCAGTAGGGAGGAGGAAACTAGGACTTCCAAACTGAGGCTGGGAAATTCCTGGAGGAGATTTGGGGATGGAGTCTGGGAAGGGCAGGGTTTGGGGAAGGGAGGGAGCGCAGCGTGGTAGAATGTCAAAGAGTCCACCCTCCCAAGCAGCCATTTTCCCCAGGGAAAACAATCTCTGTAGTCTGGAGGTCAGTAGCAATGCCAAGAGATCTCCAGGCCCCACCTGAGGTTGGCGACCACATGGGAAATGAAGATGTAAAGCAGCCAGGCTGCAGCAAAAACCTGGTGTGGGCAAGCGCATGGTTTCAGGTAGTATTCAGAGTGCTGACTGAGCCGAAGTGTGCCAGCACTCAGATCAATAACTGTGTCGGACAATAGTGGCTCTTGACCCGTGAAGCAAAGCTACTGTTATGAAGATGTTGACCTGTGGAAGTTAGCTGTGCCAATGTACTGGGCACTGTTCAAAACAGGCCCGTGACATTGCTGCCCCTCTGAAGCTGCCATTTTCTTCAGGGGACTTGATCTCTGTGGTCAGAAGATCAGTTGTCAAGCCAGGAGAACTCCAGGCCCAACACAGAGGCTGGCAATCCAACTGCCAAGTGCATTACAAACTCCTGTCCTTCCAACACCTTTTTGAAATGCTTGCCAATACCTTGACCAGTTGTTTTTTCTTTGGTTTATACCTTGAAATCTGTACACTCACCCTCCCCTGTACTGTATTGTGCACCTCTGCCTTAAAGACAACTGGGCTTCCCCCACACACACACAGACTCACACTGGCACCCCCAACATACTGCCAGCAAAGCGGGTCCCATCTCCTTCTGGTACATTATAATGGAGATAACTATTATGTTTCTATAGCTAGCTTTAGGTTTCCGGCTTTGAACAGTCCTTCACCTTAAAAAAAAAAACAACTCCCCAGAAATAGAGAACTAGCACAGCATCAAGAAAGGCTCTACCTCCTTTCTTTGCTCTCTGGGCGAGTTTTCTATTTGCTAGAGAGGTGGGCATTCCAAAATGTGGTCTCCATCAACGCTCCCTCTGAGCTGTGGAGGCCGGTGAGCAAAAATACCACTTTGTGAGCTGCTGGCATTAAAGCTGTGAGCGAGCGATTTGGCTGCTGCATCAATTAGTCTGCTCTGGAGCCCTCCTTCCTGAGCTAAGGCAAACATGCGCGTGCCAGAGGCTAAACAATTGTGAGCTAGCTCACACGAAACTCATCTTAGAGGGAACACTGGTCTCCATCTTGTAGGGTTTCCAGCCTCCAGATGGCACCTGGAGCTCTCCCACTATTACAACTGATCTCCAAACAACCAAGATCAGTTCCCCTGGGGAAAATGGCTGCTTTGGAGGGTGGGCTGTGCGGCATTATACCCTGCGGAGGACTTCCCCTCCCCAAACCCCCAGCCTCTCCAGGTATTTCCCAACCCAGAGCTGGCAACCCATTTATCTAAAGCAATATAGTTTATGCTGCCACCTCAGGGCTCTGCCACCTCGCCTTCCTGCATGTGTGAACCAGCTCTTGGTTCCCTCTTAAAATGAAGTTCACATTCTCCAAGGAGTGGTGAGTTGCTGGCTTTTTTCATGAAACACACAGTCACCTTAGTCCCCCAGTGAACCCCCTCCAACGTTATTGGCAGGCTGTTGAGCACCAGGAGGAGCTATAGCTGTGTTTCCCTTAACCCACCTGAGTCCTCTCTGCACAGGGCGATTCAGGAGGACCACTGGCCTGCCAGATGGGCGACAGCTGGCTCCTCACAGGCGTAGTGAGCTGGGGAGAAGGATGCGCACAGAAGAACCGTCCCGGAGTTTATGCGCGTCTCACATACTACCAGCCCTGGATACACAAACATATACCAGAACTGGAGTTCACAAGCACAGGAGTCAAAGGTCATGGGCCAACCGTGAAGAACAAAAGCATCGAGAACAGCGCATTGGCGTTCGGTTTTAGTTTCGCCTCCATCGTCGTGGGCTCCATCATTATGCTGGTGTCTTCTGAGTATATTCTTTAGAGAAGGGCAGCTGCTTTCTTCCCTGGGATGGACTCTCTGCTTATCCCGTAGCTTGGAAGAAGATGACACACGTCAGAACTGCCAAATGGAGGAGAATTCAGGTTCGGCCGCTGGAAATCAAGAAGTATTCACTGCACCACAAACTCCTTGTTCCAGAGACTCGAGAGATTTGCAGGAGCCGGTGGGACTTTTTCAAATTTTTTGCCTTTCGTGGAATCGGTCCTTCACCTCCGGAAGTGATTTTGCTCCAGGGGGGCTTGGGACAGAAGGATATTGTCTGTATCGCTTAGAGGGAACAGGGGCCTATCGGATTAGGATGTGGGGTTAGCCAGGTATGATTCCTGGGTTACAGCTCTGGATGGGCTGGTTTATCTGGGAAAGGGAACTGCAAGCGAAGACTCCCGGATTCTGACCCAAGCTAGAGGAAGAGGTCAAAAGCTGAGCTGTTTTATGGATTGACGTCCTCTGCCTTCAGCAGCCAGATAGCAGGAAAGAGCTATGACTCAGGAACAGAGGACACGATTTGCATGCAGAAGGTCCCCAAATCAATCCCCGGGATTTTCAGTCGAACCATCTCGGGTAGTAAATGTTGAGGAATATCTTTCTCAACCAGCAAGTCACTCTCATTCAGAGTAGAAAAAAGCTAAGCTAGAAGAACCAGTGTTTTCCATATGTATTGTATTACGAACATTTAATTCTAGGGTCCCCCTATGTGGTCCCTGTGGCACCCACCACCACCATTTCAAGTCCCCGCCAAGTGTTTTTTAAAGTGGGTGGGGTCATTGGAGTCCTTCCTTCCAGATACTGCCAGAGGAGTGTCCATTTGCTAGTGCAATATATATACTTGTGCATATTCAAGAAGTGCGCATGCACACGAACGCTCATATCCAGGATTAAACTTTGTTGGACTTAAACGTACCACTGGACTCAGATTTTTTTTTCTGCTGCTTCTGACCAACACAGCTCTATTCTACGGTTCACTGCCTCTGTAACTGGAATTTGATGCTGCTCTGGAAGCCGAATTTCTCCTGTCGAAACATTCGTGCCAGGTTTATTAGGTGACTTCAAGGCCTGGTGAACTCCCAGCATT